ACAAGAAGTTTGTAAAAAAATGAATCCGCCTCAACAATATAGAACTTATCTACATTTTTTTATGTCCTCAAGCTTTCGTCTAAAGTTCAAATTGCGCTTTGATCATTAACGTGAAATGAATCAACAAAAAAACATTTTCGGCGTTTTATTTGCGTGAAAAGCATGATTGATTTTTAGCGTAAAAACTATTATATTTCGTAGTGAACAAGTTTACAGAGTCATTAATACTCTGCCAAAACTCGATTACTTTGCCATGTAGGTGTCGAAAAAAGTTAATGCCTTTTTGATGATTTACAACGTTGGGTTTGGATGGGCTTCCAAGTTAATTGAGGTCAAATTTCTGAGAAGATGAAGGTATATCGGAGCATTGTAAAATTAACTGTAAATTATAACTCCAATCTGGTCTTAGACTGGTCTTTTGTCTTGAGGAAAAACAAGATCAAACCTGTGCTTTGGTTTGCCAGACTACGACTTTTTCAAGAGTCTTGGGGAGAATTGCAAGATTTGCAAGCCTATTGAAAAATTGAAGAAATTAGACCATCGACTGCAAGTTTTATTTAAGCATTTTCTGTGGTTAGCGCTTCTTAGAGACCCAACTTTAGTACATGTTTAACTGAAGACTTAGAATATTTTCGGAGTAAATAAAAGGGCACTGCAATATTCTTTGGATCAAAAGAAGACGATCTGACCTAACTTTTATTAACAAAAAATGTCTGACTCCTCTGCTATTGATGGTCAAAGTTCTCCAAAAAAATTATCTTTTTTGAAATATCGGGAGAATGGTACGATGTATTTTGGTGAAACTCACTGTGAATTTGTTGTTGTCTAAAACTCATATTTTGGTGAAACAATCGAGTTCAGCCGTTTTGGACAAGTGGTGAATTCTTGAGTGTCCTGGTACAAAAAGTACCAGAACTTTTTATTTGGTGGATGGAATCAACTAATTTTTGCTTATTTGATGCATTAATCATTTATTCACAGTTTAGTGCTCTTTGTAAAATCTTGCAGCATTCATAGTTTTTGCGCAAAAAATATGTTTTCTTGCCACTTAGCAAGCCTTTAAGCTTGCCACTTACTGCACGGCTTTTAATAGTGGCGTTTCTTGTGACATTTTTTGCGTTTTCACTCATTGGATTCACTATTTTTCCATGAGACAGAAAAAGTTTGTATAAAATTCGTTTCGGAAGTTTTTTTTTTGCTTTTTTAGTACCAGACGAATAAAACAAATTCGCAGGCTCGGTAGACAAAAACGGGCGCACAAGTTGCCGTACAAAGAAAGTGGCGTTCTTTGTTATCATATGGAAATCTGGTTGAATAAACCTATTTCAATTATTTTTCGCAAACTTTTTAACTTTTTTTTAAGAAAATCTGCATTTTTTGTGTTGAAGTATTAATAGCTGTTAGGAAAACCTCAGATCAAGCTGCGGTGTCCGAGTGGTTAAGGAGATGGACTTGAAATCCATTGGGCTTTGCCCGCACAGGTTCGAATCCTGTCCGCAGCGCACCTTTTTTCTCTGCTTGAAAAGATTAAAAAATATAAATGCAAGTAAAAATTTAACATTTTTATTTCTTTCTATGAATTGCGAAACTCGTCATTTTCAGACAGTTTCGTGATTTTTACACAAAAATCGGGATAAAAAGGGAAAAAAACGAATAACCAAATAAATGATTCAGAAAAATACATATAATTGTCTACTGGTGTGTTGTTGGGAGCAATGAATTCGCAAATAGTTTTGTTATATGTTTTGAAATGCACTTTTATTACAATTAAAAAATCTTACATAAACACATACGTTCTATAGTCGAGGCTAAAAAATACAAAAATATCGTTACCACTAACAATCGTATGTAACAAAACTATTAACAAAATAAAAACATAGCGATTGCAATTACAATGTACCAACAGAAATAAAAGATATGTAAACAAAAAAAAATCGTTAGCAACATTTCTAGACTAAAATGTCCACCAGCAGTAATAAGGCTAATAAATTAAAACGGGATAATGTACAGTGCTTTTAGCCAGAGGTACATTAGGACAGTTTTAAAAATTATTTAAATTATTAATTTTTGTGTATAACAAGGAAATTGCGTAAACTTTACCCACTGCCCACCCTGATTCTTCACATAATCCACTATTTTTTATAACAATGTGTTTCACTTTCCGCACAAGTCAGCACCTTAGGTGGTGGTTTTTCGAACAGAATTTTCGATAAAAATCAATCTAAGGACATAAAAGCAAAATAAACGTTATGAGAAGATCTGTAATGCATTAAGCACAGCCATGTTTCGAAAAAAACGTTAATTTCTAGACGACATGGGATAGTTCAATACAAAACAACTCTTTAGCCTCTAGAGTCAATCTTTGTCAGAATAGCGCCAGTTTGAAATTTAATTTCCAAAAGCACATTATGTGTTAGTCAAAAAAGGCCCTAAACGTTCACTGCGAGCTTAGTAGAATCGCCATTCTGACGGAGATTGCCAAGAATAAAGCAAATAATGTAACTTAAAATTAGAACTAGTTCCTGGCATTTCCCAAGAAATTGCATAAACACCGCTGTAGCTCGGACAGGGATGACAAGATTGATTAGATTTAATCCATATAATCCGGGGATGAATCAAGAGAGAAAAACGCATTTAATTTTCTAAAATTGCAAATTTATTGCACAATTTTCATAATTTACAAAAAATAGATAACCGCATTTTTTGACTTCGGGACTTCCAATTTCAGGACGAGGAGGCCTTAGGAGTTAAGCGTGTTTGTGAATTTTCTAGCTTTTTGCCTAAGCACAACATAACGTTTGCAATAACGTGAAACGAATTGGGAAATTGGCTGATGAAAAACTACCTAAATGATGATTTCCTCTAAGTTAATGAAGATTTGCGCTATATTAATTAATACCTCGAGCGAAGGTGATTCGTGAACTAACTGATTGAAAGCTGCTGTTGAGTATTTCCGAATATTCCTAAAAGTTAGATTAAATGTATGTAAAAATGTCGTCTTAATTTAATCGCTAAGTAAATTTAGGGTATAATGGTGCCAAATAGTAATTTTTAACCTAAAACGTTATTTTCTATTATAAATATACGCTGCAGTCTTTGTTACTTATTTTCTGTTCACGTTCAAAGTGAATATGTGCCGAAATTCATCAGTTTTAGAAGCTTTCTACTCCACAATATAGCTTAGATTTTCTAAAGGAAATTTGCATAAGTCGTCGAAATTTAGCATGGAATAGGGGCAGTCAATCTAAAGTCTCATCGGCTTTGCCACAATAGTTTAATAAATCCACCACCCCTAATCCTACCAGTATTACAATTTACTAAAATAGATTGTACATAGAATTAAATGTTCTGGTTGTGTTTATGTAATCTCTGTGTTTATTAAATTTTCAATTTGTCATTAAGAAACAACAAAGTTTCACATTCTTGATCAGGCGGGGCCCTTTTCAAATTGTTTCACGCAGACAAAATAACTGTTTATTGCGCCATTTTTATGGATTAGCTGCCCGGTGTGCTGAAAGAATTTGAAACGGTTTCGCATAAATTTCACTTCAGGTCGATCGAATAAAAAGCTTGAAAGTCGAAATCAGGTAGTTATCTATTTTATAAATATTCTATTATCTATATAATTAAATCTTTATACATATATCCTTTGTTAATATATTTTTATAAAATCGAGTTTCATCAAGTAAAACTTAACTAAAAAGATAGAAGCAACCCGTCGTCTCGAACATAGCAAACACTCACGAATTTATAAGCTTACAGTCTTATTTTATTGTATTTTAGCTACTGACTAAAACTAAAGTGATTTCATTATAAATATGATAAATTCAGTATACGTATAATATGTATATAATATAAACGAATTCTAAGTTCTAATTTTAAGAACTAAAATAAGTGGTTGCTATTTTCGAGCGCGGCCACTTTTAATATAGCGTAGAATTCCTCTTAACGTGAATATAGGTTCCGAGGGTGGCAGATTTCCATATACCATAAGTCAGTATTGTAAGAACGCTGTTTTTACTTCAACAAACCGTTTTCTTCAATTTTAGCACGCGACCACGACGAATTTACAGTTACTTTACTAAACTGTCCAAAAATTGCATCGCTTTGAAGTGCTTACAATACTGGCATGGAATAGTTTCTCGTGTCGAAAAAACCGCAAAGAGACATTACCAAATAGCTAATGTCAGCACCTTTAAATATAAACTCACTGTATAGAATAACAACAGGGGCAATAGAAAGATAATCATGCAAAAGACGGCCGATGGCAAAGTCTAGAGAGTTGCATTGTGATCGCATTTGAACTTGCTGATTTCGAATTCCATACCCATAGATTGCAGTTATTTTTCCAACACCCCTAATAACAGACAACAAACAAGAAGTTGTACTTTAAAACCAGGGTCTGGCTGGTTATCACAGTCCGATGCGGTTTTTATGCGACTCCTGAGCATCTGCTGGTCGATATCCCGTTTGCTTTTTGCAACAACAATATTTCCTTATTTCACATTAACGAAATTATAATTTATTATATGTATAATAAATTTATGCATGTAAGGCCGATACATCAGTATGAAGAAATCTGGAAAAATAAGTCTATTTATCTTGTCTACGGTTTAGATGCGGACATACATACAGTAGCTACACCGGTGATCTGTATCTATCACTCAGATAAAAGGCTGTAAGTTTTTCAACTGTCCACGCTGAATAACTCTTTGTGTAGAGCTGGAAAGTCCAAATGGGGAGCCGATCTTTTCAGCTTGCCCAATGCGTCCATATGCAACATACTGATTTCCCTGCAAGTTTCACAGTTAAACATCCAACTTCCCCGACCATATCCAAAACGGGCTCTTACCTCAGATTGGGAATTTTCGTCAGCAAGGCATCACAAACAGTTACATCCCCTTTGATAGGGGAACTATGGTTCCTATCCAGCTCAATCTTCAAAGCTCGGATAACCGCATAGTTTAGTCGGCCAATCTCAATGGTTCCCTTCAGTCCAGGCCGATCTAAAACAGAATCAGCTGTAAGAAAAATAAACCGTTAACGACGGTCTTCTAACCAGACCAAACTTAAGCCAACACAGACTTGAATGAAAAAAATAACTCAATACTCACTCGGAGATAACAATACGCAAGCTGAATACAGCGCTAGCTCGGTTTCGGTCAGCTTCAGTTCGGCCAGGCCTTTGGCCACTTCAAACACGCATCCGATTAGCTTCATTTCCGCTGTATCCGATGTGAAAAAGGCATCTTGGGGTAGCATGGTGTCCCCATAAAGAACACGATTATGAGACAGGTCCAGGTAGCGCGACATGCGAATTATTGCCAGCTCAAAACTGCCTGAAATCGCAAAAAACCTCGTTACAATCGATGCGAATTTAAGTGAAGATTCGGTGTTTATTTCAAACTTTGTTGATTTTCAATGGAAATTGCATATTTTTTGGACTTTTCCTGCGAAACCATTGCAGCCAAGAAAAGTCTTGGTGTAGAATATCTTGTATTTTATTTATTTGTATTGTACATACTTTCCTGACTGTGTTTCAATTCCAAATCAAAATC